TAACATGAAGACAGAGACTCTCTCCCTCGGTCAGTGCTTTAAGATCCCCAATGACAGGTGCTTGGCCACCTGTGTTCTGCGGGGCGAACCAGCCTCACACCAGACAGACACTTTGAAACTGCTTCCCCTGCACCTGCATGCCAGCCCCATAGGATCCGAAGCAAATCGCAGCAGCTGTGCAGCTTGGCTGGCAGCAATGGGGAGATTAGCCCTGCAGCAGTCCCCTCAGCTTTCCAACCCCCCCCCACCCAGGAAAGCGCCCAACAGGCAGACACAAGCCCAGACGTGCCAGGCTGCCGTGGGAGGGAAGCCACTAGGATTAAAAAACGAGAATGATCCATGAATGCAGCAGATATTAAACAGCTTAAAAGGTGGCTAAATGATAGGCCTCCTAAATGGAACCAGAACCAGGGACTCCTCCAGCGGGGCCCCACAAGGAGCCAGTTTCGGCCCGGAGCTATTTACCATCTTCATCAACGACCTGGAAGAAAAATTAAAATCTGCAGCTGACACACCTGCGGGGGAGCTGGTCACTGCCGCTCACCTGGGTCCCATCTGGACTCAAAGAGGAGGACCCGCAGCTGGGGCTCAGACTAGCTTAAGGACATGAAAGTGCCTAACACATTCACAGACCAAGGGGGAGCCACAGGTCCCATAAACCCCAAGGCTACATCTCCACTGGCATGATTTTCCGGAAATGCTTTTAACGAAAAACTTTTCAGTTAAAAGCATTTTCGGAAAATCGCGTCTAGATTGGCAGGACGCTTTTCCGCAAAACCACTTTTTGTGGAAAAGCGTCCATGGCCAATCTAGACACGGTTTTGCGCAAAAAAGCCCCGATCGCCATTCTAGCCATCAGGGCTTTTTTGCTCAAAACAATTCTTCCCTGTCTACACTGGCCCTCTTGTGCAAGTATTCTTGTGCAAGAGGGCTTTTTCCCGAGCGGGAGTGGGAAAGTATTTGCGCAAGAAACACTGATTTTGTACATTACAAAGTTAGTGCTCTTGTGCAAATTCAAGTGGCCAGGGTAGACAGCTGGCAAGTTTTTGTCCCGAACAGGAGCAGCACAGTATTTCCGCAACACTACTGACAATCTTACATCAGATCGTCAGTGTTCTTGCAGAAATTCAAGCGGCCAGTGTAGACAGCTGGCAAGTTTTTCTGCAAAATCAAATGATTTTGCAGAAAAACGTGCCAGTCTAGACATAGCCCAAGGGTGGAGGCTTCGCTACTAGCTCCAGCCAGGCAGAGCGAGCCTTTTGCAGACCTTTAGCCCCATCTACACACAGGTCACACAGACAAGTCAAGGCCACAGAATCCAGGCCAGGGACAGCAGCCTTGTGGCCGAAGCTTCAGGTGTTCCTGCCATGCTTTACAAAGCCACCTCTGTGAGGAGCAGAGGTGAGGGCTGGAGAACAGACTCTCTCGCTAGCCTTGGGGGACAGGCCAATCCTCACCTACAGACAACCCCCTAAGCTCAAATTCTTTCCTGCTGCCACACCGCCATCATACTCACCCAGGAACCCACACTGCAATCAACTCCGGTGTCAACTCGGTCCACACATCCATACAAGGGATGTTAAATTTCGGTTAACTAACTAATCGAATAGTCGATGGGGTTTCCATCGACTATTCGATTAGTTGTAAGGATCAGTGTGGTGTTCCAACTTTGTCCTCCACTGATCCCAGGTTCCATGTGGCGTTTCAATCTTTGAAATGCACAAGAACCCTTCTGGGGCTCTTGTATGTTTCAAAGTTGGAACGTCGCCGCTGCGCCCCTGCCCCCCCCACCAAGCTGGGGGGAACTGGCTTTTAAGCTGGCTCCTCCAGCACCCCTTCCTCTTCCCTTCCTTGCTGCCTCTTTCTGATAGAAGCAGCAAGGGGGAAAGTGATTAGTCGCTTACATCCCTAATCTATACTAGCGACATCACAGGACCTTCCCACATAAACCACCACCTCAGAGGTTCATACAACTGCACATCCACCAATGTGATCTACGCCATCAAGTGCCAGCAATGCCCCTCTGCCATGGATATTGGCCAAACTGAACAGTCTCTGTGACAAAGGATTAATGGACACAAATCAGACATTCAAAAATGTAACACGCAGAAACCTGTTGGGGAACAATTTAACTTGCCCTGGGCACTCACTAATGGGTCCCAAGGTTTAGAAGCCAATTTAAAAAACTAGCCTGAAAGGGAAGCTGCAGAGCTTAATTTTATTTACAAGTTTGATACCTACAGGAGAGATTTAAACAAAGACCTTAACTGCATTACCCTACATGCCACCTCCTAATGACTTAAAAAGCCAAGCACCGGATACTGAAGAGTACTTAGAACCCATTCTAACAGCTTGGCTGTGTCTAGACTGGCCAGTTTTTCCGGAAAATCAGCCGCTTTTCCGGAAAAACTTGCCAGCTGTCTACACTGGCCGCTTGAAGTTCCGCAAAAGCACTGACTTCCTACTGTAAGAAATCAGTGCTTCTTGCGGAAATACTATGCTGCTCCCATTCGGGCAAAAGTCCTTTTGCGCAAAAGGGCCAGTGTAGACAGCTCAGATTTGTTTTCCGCAAAAAAGCCCCAATAGCGAAATGGCGATCAGGGCTTTTTTGCGGAAATGCGCGTCTAGATTGGCACAGACACTTTTCCACAAAAAGTGCTTTTGCGGAAAAGCGTCCGTGCCAATCTAGATGCTCTTTTCTGCAAATGCTTTTAATGGAAAAGTTTTCCATTAAAAGCATTTCTGGAAAATCATGCCAGTCTAGACGTAGCCCTTCCGTTAGCCTGGATACACTGACTATCCTTTTCCCATTTTTTTCCTCTTTTCCTTTCCCTCCTCATCCCTTCTTTTTCTGTGATTTATTTGGAACTTGGACCCCTTAAACTCCATTCATCTGAAGAAATGGGTGGTGCCCATGATAGCTCATGATCCCATCTACATTTTTTGTTAGTCTCTAAGGTGCTGCAGGACTATTTGTTGTTTTTAAAAGTTTGTTTCCATTAGAGGAACACAACTACCCCTCTGAAGCTGGAGAACAGAAAAAAGCCTTAGCAACCAGCATAACCCACAATTCCCCAGCTGGGGGATGCACCCCCGTCTCATTGATCTGTGCTCCAGGGGGATAAAAACCTGTAGACTGCTGGCTTGAAATGCATGGCGAGCAAGGCCACAGCAGAGCTCTGCAGAGACAGGAAGGGCAGGGGGTAGAGGAAGGCTGTTGCATATGGCAGAGCTGCACAGGGGAAGGCTCTTGCGCCTAGCAGAGACAAGCTCACCCTAAAGCAGCGAGGGGCAGCCTAGGCTAGTGAGCAGGCTGCAAGATTGTTGTAACCAAGACGGTCTCCCAGGACAGGGTAACTTTCGTCCCTAGAATCTGCAGGGCGAGCCAACTGAGCTAGTAGCAGCGCTGTGATTGGCTGCAATCGGCCCGCACCTCACTTCCCGGGTGTCTCACTTAAGCAATAGCAGTAGGAGAAAACGACGGGAATGGAACCCAGCGGACTCTGGCAACACTGCCCGTGGGCAACGGCAGACAGAGTCCCGTGGGCTGCACATAGACCCCCAGATGCTGCACGTTGCCCACGGCTGCGCTAGGAGATCGGGGCGTTGTGGCCGAGGGAGCAGGCTGGTGCATGTTTCAGGCGGGTTGGAGACCCCCAGGAGAAGGAAGTGGCTCGGGGAGCGGCCGAGCGCTGGGGAGGCTGGCTGGCGGGCGCTTACCAAACTGGGCTGGATTCACTGTTTAGTGGCTGTGGCTTGCTGGGAAGGTGAGTGTTGGAGCCAACCATCGGGGGCTTTGCAGCACCAGGCAGGGAGCAGAGCTCAAGGCTGTTCCGGCTCCGCAAGCTGCAGGTTTTAGCAAGGTCAGAGCTGGGGGTCTCCACATGCTGCCCTTGCCAGCAGGCACCACTCCTGCAGCTCCCATTGATCAGTGATGGAGAACTGTGGGGTCAGTGCCTGCGGATGAGGGGCAAGGCATGGAGCTGTATGCACCAGCTGCTTTTGGGGGCGGGGCTGCTCAGCTGGCCTGAGACACCAGGCTCTCTAGACTCTCCCCATGCAGCACTGGGAGACTCCACTGGAGCAGCCAGTTGAGAGCTGGGGCTGTGCACGGAGGGAAGAGGGTTAAAAATGCTTTTCCTTCCAGCAGAGGGTTCTACGCAGAGATCAGGCTGAAAGCAAAATGCCCATCAAGCAGGACGTGGCGTGTTCTCCCACAAGCAAACGCGCGCTGGAGGAAGAGGCGTCTATTGGGTTAAAGGGCCAGCGGCAGGCAAGGACGTGGCCACAAACTCCTTAGTCAAGTCACACGAGTCCCTTTGTCTGAGCAAGTTTAGAGTTCCAGGGAGATAACAGCACCAGGCGCTCATGCTGCTCTGGGAGGCAACGAGAGGTTGAATACTGCTGCTGCAGATGACCGAGCAGGTGGGGACATAGATTACCTGACAGGCTGCTAAAACTGTCAGACCCAGACTGCATCTTTAGGGCAGGGACCATCTTTGTTCTGGCTCTGTACAGCGCCTGGCACAATAAGGTCCCGATCCATCGCTCGGCATTACTGCCATATGCAACCAACCTCAAAGCCTGACTCCCAAAGCCCACCCTCCCCTCCAGTGCACACTGCTGCTCAACACAGGGCCAGGGCGTTAGTTGGGAGAGGAACATCTCATTCAGACGAGCAAAGAAAGAAGGGAGCCAGCTCGGTTTGTGGCTGAAGGAATTGGACCTGTGTCTGGTTCTAACATAAGCTCGTGTGAAGAAGCCGCACGAGCAGAGATTTCATGAGAGTCTGATGCCCAGACAATCCCATGACGGGCACCCTGGAAGGGAAAATACCATCAGCTGCATTATACCATGCTGCCATTTTCACACTGACATTTGAAAGGCAGCCGCCCTGGCTAGCAACAGAAAAGCCGTTCGGTTCTGGGCAAGACTGAGCTAACACAAGAGACAGCGTTAAACCAAGCCACTCTCTCCTTAGTGATGAGCCAGACACCTGGTTATCAAAACTCAATTTATTCCAAATGTTAAAAGTTTCCTGTTTCCTGCCTTTTCTCCCCACTCACCTCACAAAATATTTTTAAATTCTTCTTTAAAAAAAAAATCAAGCTATTGTATGAGCCATTGTACAATTTCTCCCTCCCCTCCCCCATATTGCTATAACTTAATATATAAAACAGATCTTTGCAGAACTGCGGTTCTTATTCAAGGTGTTTGGAAGGCAGCTGCAGGAGGAGACTGAGTGGGAGAGGTGTAGGGAGTCTGGCTAATTAGACACACACAAAACGATCCAGGGTTCTAAATCGGGTTTGCTACTTGCAGTGATCTAACGCCTCGTTGGAACTGACTTCTCTTCCTCTTCCTCTTCGGGGCCTACACAGCAAATTAAAACCCTAACGGGCGAGGGGAACAGCCCAAACAAGAAGCCATCTGCAAACGGGTGCCCTTGCTGCAGCTTTCCAAGCAGATGGAGACAGGCAGCGAAGACGGGCCGGTTGCAATTCTAAAAGCAAGCGGCCAAGAGAGGAAGCTGAGGGAGGCTCTTGTCTGCTTGACAGGGGAATGGATCGATCTGACTAGACAAATGATTTTTTCCAAACTTCACCCCGGCAGGGTCCAGCCCGAGGACGACGTATTCAAGTGCAAGTGTCCTGGGGGAGTCTTTTCCAGGTGGCCTGGTGTGCAACGGTCCTGAGCGCCGGCTCCCACGGGAAGATTGCTGGGGTCTTTGCAGCTACAAATGAACCCGGCCACTTAGGACCTGGCACATGGATTTAGGAGACTGGCTTTCGAGATTGACCCTGGAAAGTCTGGCCAGAGTCCTGCCTCGATTCTCCATCTCTTAGAGGGGACTAGAAAACCTCCCGGGAGAGACCGAACGCTCCCTCGCACCTCTGCCCCACCCCCGCCCTGCCCCTCTGCCTCCAGCCCAAAGGCTGGACTGAGCGCCAGTCTGCTGGGAGCACGCTGGCTAGCAAGTCGCACAAAGCAGCAGAGGGGAGGGGGAGCTCAGCCATGTACAATAAAAAGACTTGGCCAACAGAGACATAAAAGTGACTCACATCACCCAGGGCCGGGGGAAGCTCTAAGGAAACGGGGGTGGGGGAGACACGATGGGACTGGAGGATTTGGTTTTTGGATGCGGGGGCCTTAAAAAGCTCAACGCCCCTGAGCTGGCTGGACCCGGAATTGCTTAAAACAGCGGGGAACTCGCTCTGCTCCCACGCTGGACAATCGGCTTCGGAGCGACCACGCGGGGATGAGCTGGAGGAAAAGGCAGCGAGCCCTGAACTGGCCAGCAAAGCCGCATGCGTCCAGAGAGGAAACGTGTCCCTGGAAAACTGCCCGCCAGCCATGCAGGCTCTGCCCCTGGGATTAGAGTGAGAGGCAGCTGGGGGCGAGTCTGGGGGCTTCCTCCCCTCCAACTCTGCAGACAAATCAGGTGGTCTCAGGAAGCCACCAGAGGCCCCCAAACGCCAGCCCTGAGCCGCTTGCGGGGTGCGTCATCAACTCTGCCCCTTGTCTTTCACCAGCAGGACGGTGTGCTGCCCCCCACTGGACACAGACAGGACGACGCGATTCTCCAGCTGCTTGCCGGTCATCTCCACGGGGCTCCAGACATCCTCCTCTTCCCCCGTGCCCAGCTGGTAGTTCGTGCCCATGCCCCAGGCAAACACTTGCCCTGAAAACAGAGAGCGGGGAGAGGCTGGTTGCCTACCCGACGCTGGTGGGCCCACAGCCCTGATCTGAGCGGGTCCCCAGGGTGAGGCAGGGTCGTGGTTTTCAAACCAGCCCTTGGATAGAGACATGGGGCACCCCTGCCGCCACACTCAGCCCCGCGGCTGCTCCAGAACAGGAGGCTCAGGCTCCAGATTCAAACTGGCTTGTCTGTCCGCGAAGGGTAGAGAGTGATCCGGAGGTGGGTTAACCAGCTGCTGGGGGATCCACCGGGCTGCGTAGAGCCACAACACACCCCGTGCGCACATCTAGGGCCCCCCCCCGCAGAAACGCGCCTTCGTAGAAAGACATTTTAGTAGCGTTTGCCCAGCCCCCGCCACGTGCCAGCGCCAAGCCCTGCCCGGATGTCCCCTGCAACCCTTACCTTCCTGAGTGACAGCGTAGCCCACAGACGCCCCACAGGCGATGGACGAGACTCTGGGCAGCTCGGGGATGGGGGTGGGAACGCTCTTCTCTTCCGCCCCTTCTCCAAGTCCTAAGCGGCCGTACTCCGCCCTGCCCAGGCTGTAGGCTTTCCCTGGCGCCAACGGGACACACAAGAGACGTGTTACTCCCAGGCACAGAGACCATCAGCAAGTCGGACCACGCAGCGCCCGCCTCAGCCCTCCTACCTACATCCCCCCTGCATCCCACCGCCTGCCAGGCGGATCGGGCTAGGCTCAGGCACCCTCCCTTCCCGGGACTGCCCCGTGTGCAGCCGACCAGCCTCTGACCGCTCCAGGCTGTCCGCCGAGCCGTAGCCAGAGGACACAAGCTGGAGCCCAACACACCCGCTGAGACGCCACGAAGCTGCTCCCGATTCCCGTTACTTGCTCAGCTCCGTCACTGCCTGCTAAGGGGGGACAAGCCGCGTGCTTGGGACGTGGAGGACTTCAGGTTCACGGAGTCGGTTTCAGTAGAAACAATCAGGAGCTTTCGTGGGCTACAACTCACTTCCTCAGGTGCGTGGAGTGAAAGCAAGGCAGGGCCAGAACCCCTGTGCCAACTCTGTCACACATCTACCCTCGCGACACCACCCCAGCACCTAACCACACCATCAGGGGCTCCTTCACCTGCCCCTCTGCTACTCGGACATGTGCCAGCAACGCCTCTCTGCCATGTACGATGGCCAAACCGGACTGTCTCTACTCCAAAGGATAAATGGGCACCAATCAGGCATCAAGAACCAGTAGGAGAGCCTGGAACCTCCCTGGACTAGGGATGTTCAATATTGGTTAATCGAATAGTTGATTAACCTCATGAATTCTTATTGGTTGCTTGACTATTCTATAGTCCGCAGGGGCGGGGCCGGCAGCCAGGGGGCTCTGGGCCTGGCCCCACTGCAGAGAGCCCCCTGCCACAGCGTGCTGCTTCCTGATACAGGGGCAGCAGCGCGGGGGGGTAGCGGCCTCTGTCCGGGGAGGGGACTGAACCCCCCAACCCGGTGTGAGCTGGAACCGAGCCAGGCTGCCTGCCCATCTGGCTCCTAATACACTTTAAATGCAGAGCTGCAGCAGGGGTAGGTCCCAGACCTGGCGCAAGCCAGGACTGAGCCGGGCTGCTAAAAAATTAACTGGCAGGGGATGGATGGGTGTACTCTAGGGCATTAGCCAACGGGCTTTTGCTAATCGGTTCATCCACCACGCTGTTACATCCCTTCCCTGGACACTCAGCACCAGACTTGAGAGCTGCCACACTTAGGCAAAACGTCTTCAAAGCCAGCCGGCAACGCGACACTGCGGAGCGGGAATTCGTACGTGAACCCGACACCGTCGAACCGCGTCAGACAAGAGACAGGGCGGCTCTCTCCCTGCAATAAGCTGTTTCCCCGCCAGCTGCTCTCGCCTTCTCGGCGTGGTTGGAGGGGAACCGCAGCCACCCTGTTACACTCCATCCCTGGGTCCCTGCCTCTTTCACGCCAAGCAAGAGGAAGTGAGCTGTGTCCCAGGACAGCTCGTGCCCTGATAAACGTGGGAGTCTTTGAGGTGCCGCCGGGCTCCGGGCGGTTTCTGAAGGACGTCGGTCTCTGCTTGCACCGACGCTGGCCTGCTGGAGGCAGCCAAGCACTAGCCGAGGTTAGGAGGGGGCGGGGCCGCTCTGCGTGTGTCTGAATGAGCCTCAGAAACCCCACCCCTCACTTCTCAGTCTCTCACCCAAGCCCCAGCTCTCCTGCACAAGGGGCAACAACTGATTTCTGGTTAGCAGCAGCATCCATGAGGTTTCTGGGATTCTGTAATTAATGAAGACAACCCTGGGGCTGCAGCATGCTGCCCTCTCCAGAAAGGCAGTGGGAGCTAGTGGCTAGAGCATTAGCCTGGCACTCTGGAGACCCGGGCTCTATTCCTGGCCTGCTGGGTGACCTTGGGCAAGTTGCTCTCGCCCTGTGCCTCAGTTTCCCCACATGCACAACGGGGCTAACACTACCCTTCTTTGTGCAGCACCTGAGATGAAAAGTGCAACAGAAAAGCCAGGAGTGATGCCCGCGACTCTGGTAGGCAAGAGACCAAAAAGCCCCCTTCACACTCCCACGTGTGGGCCGTGCGGAACGCCCTCGTCTAGTGCGAAGGGATGTGGCAGCAGCCACACCCCCCGTGCCAGCTCAGCACAGCACCTCCCGGGAGCGAGGGAGCAGGAATAGCAGCACCACACAGCGTAGCTCCCAGAGCCACTACGCAGCGTCTGAGTTCGGGGACACCTCCCAAGGACATCGGTGACTTTACCGTCCAACTAGAGCCCGGAGCTTTTCAGCAAACGCCCATCAACATGGAACCAAATGAGAAATGACGACGGCAAAGGAAGCCGAACAAATAACCGGCTCTTGCACTGGGGGGCTTGGCCCAGGGGCCCACCCCAGGCATGCAACCTGGTGCACAGGGTCTCTCTGCTACACAGGTTTAGCCTCATGGCAGGAAGGGGGGCGGGGGAGAAACTGTGCAGTGCTGCCACCTTGTGTCCCAGGCCCAATGCTGCAGGAAGGTTCACTCTGACCCACCCCCAGGCAGGGCCTGGCCCTCCCCCTTCCAGAGCCAGGACCCAAATCCCGGCAAAAGAGAAATAAAAATACGGATGAAGTGAGAAATTCTTCAGGAAAACCCTTGGAGCATATAAAACAATGCACAGACCCAACTGCTTCCAGCTACGCCCCAGAACGCCCGGCCCTGGGACTCAGCCTGGCGCTGGGAGACAGCGGCTCAAAACCAAGTGACCGCAGCCCCGTCTGGCTCGCACGCAGCTGCCCCGCTCACCTTCCGAGTCCAGGCACACGGTGTGGTGCTGCCCGCCTGAAAAGCCCACCCAGGACTTGGTGGAGTTCTTGAATGCCGTCAGGTTCTGGGGTGCAAAGCAGGGCTCGGTGCCCTGCGTCCCTGCAGCGGGGACAGCAAAGCCAAGGGTCAGAGACAGGGGAGCAGACACCCCCCAGCTCGCTGCAGACACCTAACCCCAGAGCGAATCCACCCTGCCTGGCCTGCACAGGGACAGCCCAAGAACGTTCCACCTGGCTGGAGAATCCTGCAGCCATTGTTCATTCCACAGGCCTGTGCCACGCAAGCCCTCTGCTCAAACCAATGGGGCACCTGGCCGGGAAGGGGGGGCTGGTCTGGCATTGTAAGAAATCCCCAGAGTCTCCTCTAATGCTTCCAAATACCCTTCCCAGAGGTACGAGGAGCTGAGACCATCGGCACCCAACGGAACCAGGCCAGGTGGCCAGCCTGTCCCTTCCTTTCCTTAGCTCCGCTGGATCCCAGCAGGCTGATGTGAGGGGCTGAGGAAGGCTGCTCTGTGCCCAAGGGGCAGGATGGG